TGGGCATCGGCTCTATGGCCTCGTCAGTGGTCGGCATATTTATGCCATATTTGATATTTGCTGTAATCATATCACGTATTATATTGTATTTGACATTTTTATAACTTATTGTCAATTGAATGACAGGTGAAAGACTTATGGATATCACTGCTGGTAATGGGGATTATGTCGATAATAATCGGCTGTATTAGCACTTTAATACCAGAAACACTGAATGTCAATTTGCCACAAACCATAGAGGAGGGCAATATTTTTGGCAAAAATCAAAAATATTTATCATGGGCTAAGTATGAAGTTTTTAGTTTGAAAAACAATACTCATATCTCGCTATTAATTGCTATTATTTTGTATTATCAGTACAAAAACGACTACAAAAATTGATAACAACTTAAACACAGAGATTATGCTAACGAAACGCAATTCTACGTGTGATATATGAGCCGATCACCATTACCACAACTACCAAGGACATATTTAAATTATAATCAATATTCTAATCAAATACTCAATAAATATTCAACATTTGTTATAAACGAAAGTACAAATGCATAGAAACCGATCGCCCGGTTCTCAGTGTGTAATAAACACATTGACAAACAAATGATTGCATAACTTTATAACTGTGCTTAAAATGTAGGCCAAAGACATACGGTTTCAATCGGTTGAACAAAAATAATTAAATACATGAATCATAATTAAATTGTATAACAAGTGTTGAATGTTTGGGTCTTTCCCTGGTTTTTAACTTTCGCTTTCAATAAAAACGCAAAACAAGTTTTATTTAACATTTAAACGAAAATAAAAGTCATTTATACAGTAAATATGTGCTAAAAATTCAATTTGAATTTTAGTAAAATTTATAATAATTATTGATTAAAATGAAATTTGATTAAAACTAAACGAGAATATTATATTTAATCTCAAATTTAGCGCATTTTAAGCCATAATTTGCAATAACCCGGACAATCGGATGAATGAACGGAAGGTAACACAAAAAAGTTTTCATACAAATCAAGCAATACTTGCAATACTTGTTGAACAAGTTTTTACACAATTCCTATCCAATTGTAAACGAGTTTATGAGTCATTAACTTATAATTATTTCCATACGTATAGCAAAATCATGTTTAAAAATTGTTTATCACATTCAATGGGAGAGAGAAACAAGTGTTTGGCATTGAAATGAAATTGTCATAAATAAGTGTCAGAATCGCTAACACTTCTCACTCGTAATCCTTACGCCTATTCCTCACAAAGTCTACAATTTTTCACTTTTTTGTTAAATTAATTAGTTTTTGGTTACGAATCGCGAATCAAAGACAATGTCATTCGTATTGGTTACCGCTGAAGACCTTTTCTACGGCCCGACCTGTATATCGACCGAAGACTCGGCACTCCATCAGCAGATATCGGATGTTTCCGATACCACTAAATATCTCACTATCTCTTCGAGAAGGAAGAAGACCGAGAGAGAGACTACGGTTAGTGTTGTCCACTATTTTCTTATATACTTATTATTTATCTATTTATTTAATACAACATTTGATTCATTAAATCTGACATTTGTTTCAATGATTGTTACATATATTGCGAACAAAAGAGCGGAAAAGCGGACAAAAGTGACAAAATTAAAGCGAAATACGAGTCAAAACTGAAGGAATTTAAGGATAAACCAGAAAAGGCGGAGAAACTGAAGGAAAAGATGGACAAAATGGCTCAAAGAGAGAAAGAGAGGATCGGTGTCATCGATGGCAAGAAAGTGAAGTTCGACCCGAACTCGAAGGCACTGGTGATCAAAGTAGAGGACGCGCCCGTCCGGGTGCTCAACAAACTGGCGGCTCTCGGCTATCAAATCACTCCGAGCTCTAGCGGCGGCTCCGGTGGCGGACACGGAAGCGGTTCCCGTGTGGGACAGGTGTGGACTTTGTTCCGACCCGGATATGTGCCCCAAATGTATCCCGAATTGAATAATCTCAATATCAAGGAGTGCTAAATATGTCATCCATTTTGATGTTTGACTCTAAAACTTATTTATCTAATTATTTAATGAAAATTTTGTAATGAAATCCGATATTTAATGAAAAAAGTTTATCAATAAATTGATAGCAACCAAGAGATTGACTAAACAATTGAGATTTAACTAAAACATTGCATATCTATCGGAGCTTAATGTTAAGCATAGGAATTATAATATTTAACTTATGGTTTGATTATAAATTTTGTCGCAAATTGTTTTCTCATTTTACTTTCAAATCAAATGTATTTTTAATAATTTAATAAAACAATTGAATTATTTGTAAAATTCAGTGTTGAATCAAATTGACTGAAACTATGTTTAATTTAGTCAATCAATTGAACCCAAAATGTGCAGAAATGACCCAAAGTTAATGCACTATAGAAATGGTCCCCCGGTTTGGGTGAACGTGACTACAGGGCTGTCAACACAAACAAGTGATGATCGAGAGTTCGAGACCTATATATGGCACGACTGGAGCGCTCGAGAACTAACCAAAGCTCGAGCCCTCACACTCGCAGTGTTCACAACTCTTTTAGAAAGTTATTGGAAAACAGTATTGAATGCATCACTCGATCGCATATATTAAACATGATTAATTTTAATTACAAAACTTAAAAAACTTTAATTAAATGCATTAAAAACTTAAAATAATTACAAAAATCAAAGCAATAAATTAAAGCCAAGGTAATAGTTGATGACCTTGGTGCTTATGCCTATGCACTGCATGCTTGTACTGTACGATAGGGTTGAAAATTCCTACTGGGAATTGTTCCCAAAGGAATGTTCCTAGGAATATTCCCTGGGAAAATTGGGAATATATATTTATTCCCTTTGGGAACATTCCCAATCACCCCCAATTGGGGGCAAAATGGGGGTAAAATGTGGGGGTCGACACACTTTACTACTGGCGCCATCTGGTGAGTGAGCTTTTTGGATGGGAACGTTCCGGGAATATTCCCACTGGGAATATTCCCAATTGGGAATATTTATTATATTCCGGGAATTTTTTCAACCGTACTGTACGAGTTGTATAGACTGTAATACACTGTATATTTAAAAACAGAGATTCCCTCCAAAAATGAGACCCAAAACACACTCGACTTTAATGAATGAAAACAAGTGTTTGAATGAGTGCTCAATCAATACATCTTAAGGTAAGTATTAATTATGTTTTGACAACTTTTTTGTCGCAAATAATGAATAATGTATTGATTTTTACGGTATAATCGATGGACTGAACGCTTGTGTCGAGTAGTAGTTGTCGTGTATTTGCATTACAACAGTAAGTGTTGACTACTATTTCAGAGTAACAGTAATTCAAACTTTTTATTTCTCAAAACAAATCAATGCTTTCTCTCTGTTTTCATGTCGTGTTTGCTCTCAATATCTGGTATTAATTGTTAACTAATAGTATAAATATGTGTTGATATCAAACAAATCGTATTTATTATATGATATATAATTTATATCCAATGTCTGAACCAAAAGGTTATCTTTTTTATGCCAATTATAAATCAATATTTTAATGATTGTCTGTTTTGGTGGTGTTTTAGTGACCGCAAGATCTAAAGTGTTGTCCAACTGGTCGTCCAGTCTTATAGACGCCGAACCGCCGGTTCTTCAGACAACGCCTCAACCGATGCTTAACAGGTCGGCCACCGCTTCGGCGAAGAGCAACAGATCCGCCGACAAGTCTGACCGAAGAGTATCGCCCAAAAGCGCCGACAAGAAGACCGACGAGAATTGGTTGAAACATAAGAATAGAGATAATATGAAATCGAAGACAAGAAGCGAAACGCCGGTGAAGAGTGGCATCACTTTGAGACCAAACAGAGCCGCCGAAGTGATACAAAGTCCAGACAAACCAAATACAGTCCAAAAAGACAAACAATTGGATAACAATTTGAATACTTTTTCGACTAAATTAAGAAAACATTCAAACAATTCAAATGGCAATTCAGAGACGGCTAATGAAGTGACCACTAATGCTGCGAAACAAGCCGTGAGAGGCACCAAAAGTAATGCCAAAGAAGTGAAGATAAATGTGATGGAAAGCGATGAGTCAATGGAAGAGATGGATGTGTCGGACGATAATGGGATCTGTATTAACAAGGATTGCAATCAAGAGATAAACAAGTTTTATATATTTGAAGGCAAATTCTGTTCGTCGGTCTGCGCTGTCCGGCAATGGACTCAAAACTTCCACAACAATTGGGGTCAGAAGAAGACTTAATTAATACATTTTAAACACATTTTACACTTTAATATTCATTGCGTCCAATCATACAATCAAAGCCTGCATTTCATTCATTCATTTTTACATTTTTAATTATGAATTTTAATATGAATTTACATTTTAATCACTTTACAACTGAACCCAAGTCCACATCCCATTGCTGTACCGCAAGAGAGGCCACTCTTGCATACAATGGATTCACAATGCAATCAATTAATAATTAGATGAACTGCCAGTCAAGTAATCTCCCAAAACGTCTCTCCCATATATGACACCAATGTTTTATAATATAAATTGAATTTTAGAAATGATTAAAATATACACTTTTTTGGTATTATATATAAATGATAAATGAAAGTAAAATTGTTAAGAAATGATAACTAAGTTTGCATTAATTGAAACATTATTTCAATGAGTGGACAATACAAGCCCTCAATAATATCATGCCTTTGAATGCCTGAGTGGTTGTAATGAAGAGACGGTCCCTCGCAATGACTTTGAGCCCAATATAAGGGTTTGTAAACAGAGTTTTCAATTCAGTCATTGATTTTGAATTGAGTTTTCATTTCATGTGATTTGATGAGTGAAACGACAGGTATTTTCATAGCATTTCACACAACGCTTTCATTTAGTGTTTGATTGAATGTCAACTCAATTTGCATCTCATTGTTGTGCCGATAGAGAGGTCATCGCATCCCAAGATGTCGACCGCCAGGTCTAAAGTGATGAACATGTGGTCCGCCGGTGATGTGACCGCCGAAGCCATACCACCGCCACCACTGGTGCCCAAGATGTCGGTCTCACAGCCGTCTCCGCCACTGATCAGCACTACTCACTCATCGATCGTTACCGCCGCTGAAGATATACCCAAAGAGCCGCCAAAGAGCGACCAATCGGTGCCACAAATGCCCGCTTTGGTGCCACCGCAACACGTGATGACTCATTCAATAAATGGCACACAAAGTGACACCAAATCAGACAATGTTTCGGTGAAAAGTGTGGACACGAAAGTGAAAGACATTTCGGGTAAAGCGGTGCCAAAGATGAGATCCAAAGGGTTTAAGGCTCGCAATGGTTTGCCGTCAAACGTAAAGGTGATCAAAACCCGGACGCGACCCGTTCTCGTCAAGGGATTCGCCCAACAAAAGGGTTTTCTTGATTTTGTCGGCAGATCTTATGTTTTGGTCAAAGAAGGCGTTCCCTTCATTCAGGACCGATCGTGCAAACAGTTGACCTCCGATAACAACAACACCCCTTCCGCTACGGCCTCCACCGCCGCCGCTGTCGTCGACGCCAACACCACAACCACTGTTCACAACACAATCACTCATTGCATGGATTGTAACGACAAGAAGGCACAGACACAGGCGTGTCGTTTCTTTCAGTACCGAACGCTCGTCAAAAGCAACGGCCAGTTGTCTGTCTACGCGTTCGCCGAAGAGGACAACGCCACTCACGACGACTGCAAACTGTGGCTCCCATACCAACAGACGAGTGTCCAACCGATGACCGAAACGGAGGCCCGATATCTGTTGACTTTCGTTGGCGAACAGTTCTGCCAAATCTATGGCGAAGAGCAACGCGTGTTCGCGAACTACGAGTCCATAACGTGGAAACGGCCCGTCAAAGGGATCCGCGAGTTGTGCGACATTTGCCAGACAACTATCTTCAACACGCATTACGTGTGTCCGAACTGCGGTCTCGCCATTTGTGTCGACTGTCACGACGTGCGCAAAGAGAGCGAAGTGTCGGCCAATCCGGCCATTCATTTGAACCGCAAAACACACGACGAGTTCGGCTGGAGTTTGTGTCACGACAAGCAAAAGCACGACACAAATGGCTTGCATTTGGCGCTCTTCATCACGAAAGCCACGTTTGACTTCATTGACCGCACGTCACATACCATCAGAAATAATCGCCGCATTTCGGGCGTCTGTGGATGTAATCAATTGGATCCCACACTCAACATGAATATCAGGGATCAGTGCAAAGACCTCGACCTCATTACCTTCTATCCACATGTGCCGCGACAGTGGTATTGCAACGACCGACTGCTTGTACTCACGGAACCCAAAAATTTTCACAATTTAAGTTATTTTCAAATCGCTTGGTTAAGAGGTTTTGTAAGTAGTGTTTGAATTGTTGTTTTATTGTTTATTGATTACTAATTATGTATTTGTTATTCTCAGGCCGTTATGATTCAAAACGTCAACTTATGTATGAAACCCGATCTCTGGGAACCGCAAAAGTTCAATAAGTCATTTGGCCGACAATCGAGTTATTTAGTGAATTGCATGAACGGCTCAACAGTACCGAAACGACCGATGAGTGACTTTTGGGACGGTTTCGAAGACATTGATAAACGCATTAAAGACGACGAGACCGGAGAGGAAATGATATTAAAACTGAAGGACTGGCCGCCAAACGCCGAGTTCAGAGATATACTGCCGCTTTGGTTCGATGATCTGATGGATGCGCTGCCACTTCCAGAGTACACCAAATACAACGGTTCCCGCAATTTGGCGGCACGTCTTCCCGACTTCTTTGTTCGGCCAGATTTGGGCCCTAAGATGTACTGCGCGTACGGATCGGTTCTGCACGCAGACAAAGGCACCACTAATTTGCATCTGGATATGAGTGACGCCATCAATGTTATGGTTTACGTCGGAGTCGCACAAAAGGACGGCCAACCACTGGAATCGCACCTTAAATACGCCGACGACACGCTCCGGAAGGGCGGATGCGATGAGCAAATGATGCAAAGGGCCGACAAGAATGGCCTTAAAGTGGGCGCTCTGTGGCATATATGGCGCGCAGAAGACGCCGACAAAATGCGTCAATTCATCAGAAAAGTGGCGAAAGAGAGACACAAGAAGAGTGATTTGACGAGTGATCCGATTCACGACCAGAGCTGGTATTTAGACGAACCGTTGCGCCGACGCCTGGAGACCGAGTACAACGTGAAAGGTATGGCAATCGCTCAGTGTTTGGGCGACGCTATTCTGGTGCCGGCGGGCGCTCCACATCAGGTGCAGAACATCCACTCTTGTATTAAAGTCGCGGGAGAGTTCGTCTCACCCGAGAATGTGGGCCATTGTGTGGCACTCACTCAGGAGTTCCGCAAACTGTCCAAACGGCACACCAATCACGAGGACAAACTGCAGATCAAAAATATCATTTATCACACCATTAAAGACAGTCTCTCGACTCTAATGAATCCCAACGGCCCTCCGATGCCGTCAATGGCTCAGTCGCCCTCCAAAGTGCTTCCAAACGGCTGTCGTCCTCACAATGGAAACGTCCGAAACGGTTCCGATTTATGCAAATCATTGCCGCCTCAGACCACTCCAGTGCCAACTCCCGCATCATTCCTGACGCCTCCCAATAGCGTCGAGAAGTCGTCGATTAATGAAATGAATGGCCAGAAGCTCAGTGACAGCGCAGCCATTACTAGTGGTCACACAATAATGAAGATCGAAACGAGTGATGAGTCGTCGCGTGAATTGTCAAACGATTGCGAGATGACTGACTCGGAAGCGGCCAAAACTATGGCTGAATTGTTGCCGCCATTACTCACTCACATCAACAACAATACAATGGATGAACAAAAGGTCGATTTGTCTGATTCGCCGCCCATTCTTGAGCCCTATTCAACATGTGATGACATAAAAGCCGAATCAATGGCTACCGATTGACTGTATTATTAGTTAACTATTCAATGATTTAGAAGAAAAATTTAACATATTATGTGTTTTTACCATTATTTCAATGCATTTCATTTTGTTTAAGAAAATTGTGATCTCTTTTTTGAATGAATATCATTTCATATTTGTTTTGTATTTTTAATTTGTTTCAAATTAATTAAATTATATTATCAATCAATCATTTGATTATTTATTTAACAAATTATACATCGATTTTGCGCCGAAAAATGTGCATTGATTTTGAGGTATGCTTTTGGTAAGTGATAAGCAGACAATACTTTCATTGATTATACAGTTAACAAATAGATGTAACGACTTATGCCGCATAGAATTGCATGCAATTATATCAAGATTTTGAGCAAATTTCAAAAGTGCTAAACCAGTGCAATTATATCCGGATACAATTGCCCCCCATATTAAAAACTCACATATAATTATAACGACTTATGCCGCATAGAATTGCATGCAATTATATCAAGATTTTGAGCAAATTTCAAAAGTGCTAAACCAGTGCAATTATATCCGGATACAATTGCCCCCCATATTAAAAACTCACATATAATTGCCCCCAAACTCTGTACACATTTATTGGTTAGTTATTCCAACAGTTTTATTATTGAAATGAAATACAGAAATAGTTACATATAGTAGTTGTCCGACTCTGACCTCTATTACCACTCTGTGTTTGCATTGCTTTCACTTTGACTTGCATTCAATGAAGGGTTACTTTCACTCAAATCTAATGTATTTGGTATCTGTTGCAACTAGACTGACTAGATGAGTTTATGACAATCCTGGATTTTGGGCAAAAATCAGCCATATAATCCTGGATTCCTAGACATTTTACAAATTTTAGCTATATTATCCGGGACGCCTCCATAGACTCAATGTTTAATATATTTTTGAAATTCTGGACAGGACATTGATTCCGGGACAATCCAGGCCATTTCTGGACATCTGGTCAGTCTAGTTGCAACCCATCCATTGATTCTTCATTTGATAACTCAATTATTTCAGACATTGTTTCACAAATACCTGACACTCATTCACATTAAACAAAACGCACACCAATTGATAGGAAAGGGAAGCATATAATTCACAAAAAAAACTTTTAGTCAAACTTTACAGTTTGATATTATATGAGTTTGAGGGCAACTATATGTGAATTTTGATAAATGCCTAAATGATAGCAGAACTGAGGGCAACTCTATCCGGATATAATTGCACCCCGACTTAGAGATCTAGATATAATTGCACTGCAACTATATGCGGCGAAAGTCGTTACAAATATGTTTTTATACTTAAAACTATGTAAAAGTTGGGTAACAATATATTTTGTGCAACTTATCGCTCGCGGTTACAATGAAAATATCAATTCAATCCATTATTTAAATTCTCGTTTAACTGTAATATGTATTAAAATGAATTCAATTAAAGCATTGGTGAAGAAGTTTAATAAAAACAGTGAAATGAACACAAATATTCAAAATGTAAGCATTTTATCAAACGTAATATCAAATGATTATACTTTTCATTATATTTCCAGAATTCAAGTCGTGATAGAAATCAAAACTCAGAAGAAGACGAAGACTCGGAAGAAACGCCTTTTATATCACTTATTAAAAGTATAACTGAAGACGATTTCAATCGCAAATCATTACTCAAATTCTGTGAACAAAACTCAATTCAATCCTTCGAAGAAGTCTTTAATCAGAGGTTTAATTAAATAATAAAATACAAATCTATTTATATTTTAAATCTAATGTCATATTAATATGTGATTTAACTGCAGTTTATATCGAGATATCTATCGTTTTGATTACGGAACTTATGCCGAGCTCTTCACCGCCATTGACAACAATATCAATGAAAAGGTTGTCTTAAAAGTGATTCGTGTCGTTAGTTCTGATCTCAAGAGTCGCATAAATGGCGTAAAGTTTCATTCAATCGCTTTGTTTAAAGAGGTTCACAGCGAGTGTCAAATCAGCGCGTAATCACTCTTTGGATTTCTCATTTGTTAATTACTCTCATAATTGAATAATTTATAAAATATGTTTTCACATCCAATTCAGTGCCCTTTCAAACCTGAGAACTGGTCCTAAATTTAGGACCAATTGTTATCCACGGGTTTACTCTAAATATCTTCTCGACGGAGATATTCCTCACTATTTCTTAAAAGAGAAAGCTTTCGATGGATTCAAACCCATTAGAAATGATGTCTTTGAAGATTACGCCTCTATTCGTAAGTTTAATGTTATCTAAACTTTTAAAATATATTTAAAATGTGATTATAATGTAAACTATAGCCCGAGAGTATGCGGTAATTGTAATGTCATTTGGTGGACATCCCCTTTGGAAAGCTCTTAAAGTGATTATTTTGTATGTTTTAATTATTCAATTGTATAATTATTTGTATTAACCATAGAATAAGACAATCACTGCCTCACAAGTGTTGAGTGTTATAAAGCAAGTAATAATAGGGTTAGCAGTGGCTGAGGGGGCGGTTGAGTTGGAGCACCGGGATCTTCACGAGTCCAATATTCTAATACAAGAGACTTCAGAAATGGATATTCAATTCATTCATAATTCAAAGTGTTATTCAATTGAAAGCCATGGACTCGAGGCCACCATAATTGACACCACTTTTTCCAGAATTAAACTCAGTACACGATCTCTCTCTCTCTCTCTCTCTCTCTCTCTAATCCAAAATATCCAGAGTTAGCAAAGAGTTTGTGAACTTGGGTTTAGTTTGAAACAATTTACGACAAACACACAAATGAAACAATGTTTTCTAATCCAATACATTTGTTTCGGTTTATCTCTCAATATTGTTTATTATAAGAGAATAATTCTAATAATTGTTTTGTAGACGATTCTGTTTTTTACAAAGATTTGTCGTCAATTATGACTTTTGATGAGAAGCTAACACTTCAAGACAAGGCCTATAAGTCAATGGTTTCTTTGACTGAGTACTAATACATTTAAATAATATTTAAACTTTTAATAATAGTATCTATTTGTCAGAAACCAATGGAAGAGATTTACTCCAAAGACAAATATGAATTGGATTAAATATATTTGCATTAAAGTCTTAAAATCCAATGTAATTCGTGAAAGCAATGACATTAAAGTCAAACAGAGTATTCACGACATTATTAAATCACTAAAAGGCAAAAACTCTTTGCAAGAAATTGATTTCAATTGCCTTTAAGTCATTTTCAATGATTTCAATTTGCATTCTTTGTATTATTTAAATATTCTTTGTTTTTATAAATATTTTATCAATAAATATGTTTAAAATTTATATCAAGAATTACTATATTAAAAATTTAATTAAATTAAGTTATACACAACTCTTCAGTAATATTACAATGATGAAAATTAAGGAAATATTAAACACAGATGTAATGCTTAAAGTTATATATTAAATGATAATTAAAGTTATCGTGTTATTTAATACAAAATCAGACACAAACTAGTGCTATGAATATTATTCAATAAAATAATAAATAACAGTAAAAGTAATGAGAGATAAACCGAAACAAATGGGAAATACAATTCTTGAGATTACATCGACAGTACAGACGATATGCTTTGGTTTGGTTTTGTTGTTTGCATTGCCTTCAGGTTCTTGTGATGGACCGAAAGGCCACGAAATAGCGACTGAAAACTCAATAAGTGTCGCAAAAACATAAGTTATACACATTATTGTCCAAACTTCCAGAGCATAGATATAGGAGACATTGAGTTCGGCCTGAATTTGTTGCGCTATCAGTGCTAACAGTGATGTAATGATGAGTGATATTCTCGCCGGCGCTATATTTGCCGGAATCCAGAATCCAATGAAAGACATGATCACAATTAAAAAGGACGGAATGAACCGTTTTATTAAATAATTGCCAATATTTCGCTCCAAATGCAACATAACGTAGAGACACGAGTGAACACCTGTGTCACACAATACAGATATTATATCAATAGTAATCAAATGGCAAACTTATTGTGATTAAACTGATAATTGCCTAAATCTGTGTAATTCTTAACGCATACACCTTTGTTGCCCTCTTTGATGCCAAACTCTGGCTGATCTACGTGTGAGCCAATTCTGAATGAATGCCAATTCAAACGAACGGTATTTATATTCTGAGACACTTTTATAGAGGAAAATAATAAAAATTACATTTAATAATTTAAATGAATGCACAATTTCTTACGAGTGGTTATATTAATAAAACAGATTTGTTTATCAAACGGGTATTTCTCAAACTTCATGTCACAACTGAATTTGATTCTGAGTCGCGAAGCCATAAACACATTCGTATTCTCGCCGGCGCTATATTTGCCGGAATCCAGAATCCAATGAAAGACATGATCACAATTAAAAAGGACGGAATGAACCGTTTTATTAAATAATTGCCAATATTTCGCTCCAAATGCAACATAACGTATAGACACGAGTGAACACCTGTGTCACAAAATGCAGATCTTATATCAATAGTAATCAAATGGTAAACATATTGTGATTAAACTGATAATTACCTAAATCTGTGTAATTCTTAACGCATACACCTTTGTTGCCCTCTTTGATGCCAAACTCTGGCTGATCCACATGTGAACCAATTCTGAATGAATGCCAATTCAAACGAACGGTATTTATATTCTGAGACACTTTTATTGAGGAAAATAATAAAAATTACATTTAATAATTTGAATGAATGCACAATTTCTTACGAGTGGTTATATTAATAAAACAGATTTGTTTATCAAACGGGTATTTCTCAAACTTCATGTCACAACTGAATTTGATTCTGAGTCGCGAAGCCATAAACACATTCGTTGTGTTACTTATAATGAAGTAAAGACTGGGAGATATGACATCGTTAGCCATTCCTCCGCTCACGGCGTTACGGAAGGACGTGTCCGGAATCCAGAGCCGACTCTTCCACTCGTAGTCCAAAATCAATTTATCCGACGTATCGTTCACTCGATTCAGTCGATAGTCAGTCCAATAGAGATGGTAGAAGAGGTCGACATCAAACTCCTTAACCAATGGTATAATTTTACTTAATTTTTTTAAAAACAAAACGACTACTAATTTGAATACCATTTTGGAGTTAGAATCTGGACTTATAGTGAGTATAACTACCGAAACATTCACATCAACTGCCAATCCATTCACTTTGGGAGCGCTGTTCCGATTGTATCCGTTGGGCAACAGCTCTGACCCGTAAAACTTTGACTCCCTTTGACACGAAATTATTTTGATAATTAAACATAATATAAGTAAAATTAAATTGAACATGGTCGTAAATGCTGGGATAATATTAAATATTAAATTCAATAAAATGTAAATTCACACAATTAGTGTAAAAATATTAAAACTGAAAATAATTTAATTCACAAACAATATAAAAATACAACTCTTATATAATATTATAAGGAAGTGGAGAAAGTGATCACATAATCAAAATATAGTATATTATATCCTATTTATGTATAAATGTAAAGAATTTATATCAATAATTGGAGATTATTGGAAATAATTGAAATTTTTGACAATTTATTCATACATTAGTAGAAACTATTGAGAAGATTGTCAAAAAATGTTTAATAATTTCGTTGAATTTCATTGTAAAGCTGTTTACCTCTAATTTTGAGTTCAATGTCATTGGAAATGATATAAATTAAGTTAAACACAAATATAATTAACATTATATATAAAGGAGTTGTATATAAATATTGTAACTATTTGTTAATTTTTATTACCTGTTGCTAATTAACAGAGAGATCGCTCCAAATATTTGTATTATAAGTCTATTTAAATAAAATGTTTGCAAATTTAATATTGATTTATAATCCAGTCTCATATCCTTTATAAGGAAAAATTTAATGTAAAATATAATTTGTTTTTCATTTTTAAAAATTATAGTCACAAATGTTTTATTATAATCAAAATATTGTCAACAAGTTATAAATTTAATAAAATATATTTTAAATTAAAAAAAAAGAAAATCTAAACAAATTTTTTGGATGAAAATTAATGATTATATAAAAATAAACGCGAATTTAATGCTAGATATGTGAGAGGAAGTGGTGTTTATGATTTACTGGTCGGACCCATGGCTACGGACATGGAGTCATCAGTGGGCGCGAGTGCGGCCGCCTTTTTCTGGGGCGACGTCGAGACAGTGGACACAACGGCTTCGGGCGCCGGCGCTGGCTTTGGCTTCTCTTTGGGCGATGTTTTTCGGGGATTTTTGTTAATCTTTTGGGCCATACTTTCCACGGTTTCACTCATTTTAGATACTTTTGGAGGAGTCTCTGGCTTTACATTGGACTTCACGGCCGACGGGTCGGGTTTGAAGGCCACAGATGTCGGCGCCTTATTCTTCACTTGAGATGTCATTTTTGGTTTGATTTCAGAAGCCATTGGTTTAGTAGACAATTGTTTCTATTGTATTA